CGAGGTTACCCAGGACGGCTGCGAGAGTTTCCAGACGGGGTTCATGCACTCATTCGTGGACACGTGCCGGCAGTTGCCCACGGCACCGTCAGAGTGCCCTCTTGCGCGGCAGACTGAGCTCACCGAGCGGCGTGAGTTATGGGTTCAAGCCGCTCGCCTCGCCGGGACCACGCACCCAGGAACCCCGCTGAGTTACGCCCGTTTTTTCCCCGCCCGTTCGCGCCCGGGCTTGCCGTGCAATGTTCCAGAGCCACTGATCTACGTCCAGGACTTTTCAGAATCACAGGAGAAGGAGTTGCTGGTGTTGGTCGTTACCTGGTCTGGCATGGTCTGGCCTGGGAATCCGCTCGTCATTGGTGTCACAGTACTGTGCGAGGAGTCATGGAGCAACCGTGGGGCGATGGCCACAGGACACCGCGGCCGAGAGGTGCGCCACCCAAGAGTTAGCCGTCAGCCAAGCACTTCCACAATGTTGCCGAGGAATCTGAGGCGCTTTACCAACTGTTCGATACGATCGATCATTCAGACTGGGGCGATCTCCAGGCAGACCTGACGCCACCCGAGATTGTCTGGTACCAGACGATCTCGATGGCGTCGATGTCCACCAACGCTCGTTACACCAACGCGCATGCTAGCTCGCGACCGTTAAGTGTTCCGGGCGGTAGACGCCGTTCGAACCAGGGAAAATGATCATTTCTGCGGCAGGTGATGTCACCGGATCGCGACTTTGACGCGCGGGTGACGGGCGGCCGCTGGTTGGTTAACCCCAAGGATTGTTTCCCTGCGTGGCAAACACAAAGGCCCTCTTGCAATATTCCTTGCTCCAGAGAGTGGTTTGCTGATTGCATTGGCGAGAGCCTGGCGTTGCTTTGCTGGCGTCGCGCGGGACATGCAAATTTCCGCCGGCTGACATTCTACCTTCAAGTCGCTTCAACAAGGAGCAATGCGCCCACGTCAGTTGTCATGCGCGCGATGATTTTGCGCATTCGCAGTTGTCCTGCGGCGATCGTGCAACCGCCCATTTTGCTTCCACTCCTCTTGTCTCCACGCCACTATTAGTATCGCAGGTAAGTTGTTATCGCACTACTGAGTGCCGTAGCGCTGCAAGTGCCGCAACCACAAGTCGCCGCTTCTATTTCTGCTGTTGCCGCTGTTTGATTATCCTGCTAGGGCCGCGGCTGCTGCTTGACTTGTTCGACACCTTACATTGCTTCTTAATGGTGTTACAAGTGGCACTGCGACCCTCGTTGGCAAGACGACCACTTCAACCACTCTGCATATCACGCTGCCGCGAGGGCGACGGCTACCGCTACAACTGCGCTTCGTGCGACGCCGAATACTTGCACTAGCGTCGCGACTCCGAATAACACTACCACTGTTTTTCACGCTTTGTTGTTTTGCCGCTGCTACCACCGCCATTGCGGCTGCTACTGCGCGCGGGGCCGTCTTGTTCCAGCCCGCATGGGCCAGGACTTAGGGCTCGGCGCCGAAACCTTGAGGCGGCCCGCTGGGACCCCCGCTGCCTTATGATGCCCAAGGTTATTGCAGTGGCTCCCCGCGCTATTTCGATTGCCTCCTCTGTCATTGCAGCGGCCTCCTCCGCCATTGCAACGGCTTCCTGTGGCTGCCCCATTGGCGCCCCGATTATCGCAGGGCAGCGGTCCAACTCTGGAAGAATGTAGAGTCGGGCAGAGCAGGATAAAGAAGAGCACAGTAGAGCGGAGCAACACATATCAGAAGTAGAGTAGGACAGGGGTAGAAGAACGCAGCGTAGACATGAAACATGTTGAGCGGGGGAGGGGGAGCGCAGGGTGGAGCAACGCAGGGCAGGGCCTGGCCGAACAGAGAGAAGCCAGCTGCAGCGGACGACCTAATGTCCGAGAAGGGTCGGGCAGGGTAGATGGAAGAACAACGCTCGGTGACAAGGAGCAGCGCAGCGTCCAGTAAAGAATGTCGAGTTGAGCCGAGTAGTGTAGATGCCTGCTCTCCAGCGGCCACTTCAAGAGTTCTCCGAAGCACCCTGGAGGCGCCCCAGAGGCCCTTCGAATTCTAAGGCTTCCCGCAGGCACCCTGCTGCTCCCGCGGACCTCCCCTGCTGGACTCCTGAGCATCCCTGTGACGGGCCCCGCAGGGGGCCCAGGCCGGTCCGCCCCGTGCTCATGGGGGGGGGCTGAGAGAGAGCCAAGACCGGCCCGCCCGCGGGCCGCCCGGGGGCGGCCGCTCCTACCGCCCCCGCAGCGCTGCCCCAGGGCGCCCCGTTGAGCGACGCACTGGGTTGACGTTTCAGGGGAATGGAGGCCCGGCGCTCATTTCCCTCGCAGCGCCCCGCTTGGCGTCGATTTCAAATCAACAGGAACGCAATCGAAAACTCCTTGACACTAGCGCGTACAAGTATTAAATCACAGAAGATTAGCGCATCACGCAGCGCGCTCTCAGCGCGAACCCCCGCCCCCGCCCTGCCTGCGCTGAGCGCGCGATTGGCGCGCGATCGGGGTGCGATCAGCACGCTACGAGTGCGCGATTAGTTGGCAATTGGTTCGCAATTAGCGCGCGGTCAGCGCGCCATCAATGCGCGATCTGTGCGCGATGAGCGCGAGATCAGCGCGCGATCAATGCGCGAGCAGCGCGCGATCAATGCGCGGCAGCAGTCCGCGATTAGCGCAGCATTAATGCGCGACGAATGCGCCCATGACAGATGAGAGCTGCGGGGTGATTCTGGCGCGCGATGGATGCTTTTTCCCACTCGTGGGTTGGCGGGCTGGAAGCCCCTGTTCCACGCCCCTCTCGCGAACGTGTCTGAGGCAATACCCAAGCCGACCATGTTATCGAGAGGTTCCGTGCTCTCCCGAGAGGTGGCGACGTGAGCTGGCGCGCATTGGAAGCAAGCGCAGGATCCTGTATTGATCCATATGTCGTAGAAAGATTTGTCTCTGCGGCAGTACTCCCCGGGCAGCTGACGAGCACCTTCCACGGCGCACTCGGCAAATAAATTGACGCGCCGGCGCGGGGCAGGCGATCGACCGCGCCACTTTTTCGCGGGCGCCCCCGCGAGCATGGCCCAGCGCCAGGTCGTTGATCTTTGGATGCGCGCGCCCAATTGCCGCGAGGCTGGAAGACGCGATAATCCCATGCGCCATTCTCGCCCCAGGCCCACTTTCCTTCTCTCTCTGTCCATGGAGCTGCGCCTTGAGATCAGCCGATTCGCGGCCCCTGAACCCGCCGCCGCGCGGCTGCATGCCAAGGGCGCCGCGGCAGCCGCCGCCCGACGATTCCCCAAATCGGCATCGCTTCTCCAGTGGAAAGATTCGGGTCGCGAGCGCTGGCCTCGCGGGGGCTGCAGAAAACTAGCTGCGCCTCACGGGCCGCGTCTTGGACAATAGCGATGCGTGGATAATGTGGACGTGCATTCGTCAGAGCGCCGGCTGTCCTCGCAGCGCAAGCGCGCAGCGCTGGTGTCACGGTTTCGCGCCTCGAAGCATCTCCCCAGTCGCGCGCGGCGCGCGCGGGAGACGCCAGGGCGCGCGCCTTGCTCTCTGTTGCGGCCAGGATTATAGTGGCGTTGGCGCCCAGCTGGTCTGGGCGGGCGCCCCCTGAGCCAAGGCCGAGCGCCCGCGTTCGGTCGCGCGGCGCTGCGTTCGCCGAAGAATGTTGTCGCGCCTGGTTTTCTAAGCGGGGTGCGAGTGGCTTACACTGTAGATCATGATGCGAGCGTTTCGCCGTTGCCGTTGGCTGCGCCATTGGACTTGCTATCGGGGCGCCCAGGGGCCCCGCTGCACGCGCGCCGCGCAGGGCCACGTGGAGTCGCGTTAAGAGGCGCCCTCGAGCGACGACGCGCGGGCCGCGCATCGGTCCGCGCGCGCTCGAGCAAAGAAGTCGCGCAGTTCATCTGCCACCGCAAGGCCCGGAAGATGCTCGGAAGTGGCAGCCATGACCGCCAGTGGTGGCGAGCTCCGCCGCACGAGGCTCAACGACCCTCACATCCCGCGATACCCGCGCGCACCTGACCGCGCCTTCTGGGAGGCCGATGTTTCCGATGGCCCGCTTACCGGCAAGACCGCGCAGTTCATCGGTGACGTTAACGCAGATGCTCGTTGCGGATGCTGGACCGACATCGAGCAGTTCCAGAAAGCATGGTCGAGCACGGACTACAGTGACCCCGTCGACGCCTTCAACGGGCCACCCATGCTGTGATCCGATAACCACGGCAGTGACGCAAAGAGGGCCAGTGGCTGGGCGCATTCGCCCGGTGCGCCTAGGCGTTGGTAAGGCGCCAGCCGGCAATATCTACATCCCCACCTTTTCTCCACCTCAAGATGTCACGGAAGATGATTCTACAAAAGTACAGCGCTGATTGTTAGGATCACTTGAACATGCTAAGTTATTTTGATCGCACGCCGAATCCGTTTATGTATATCATTGTTAAACTGACTTGGTCGTTCGGCTCTTTTCACCGTTCCCCATTCGGGCGGCGTCGCTGTCTCATTTACCGAGGCCACCTGTCTTGTTACAACACCTTCCCCGTCATGCGGCCAGCACAGACCGATTGGGGCGTGTTAGTTATCAGGGAGGCGAGGGGATCAGACAGTGGTAGAAGTATTGTTGCCGAGCGTGCGTCGCGATCCACGCCGCCTGGCTCAAGTGCTTGCCCTTTGACGCTCGTGTCGAGCGTGTGCGAAAAAATCGTGATCGTCCCCGTGCTTATGCAGGGGGCGGGGGGGGGAAGGGGAACGGGGGGAGAGAAGGAGCTCATCGGGGAAGATTCAGGAGGGGAAAAAACACACACACACACACACACACACACACACAACACACACACACACACACATATATATATATATATATATATATATATATATATATATAATTTTCGTCGATTCCCAAGAAAATATAGGAAAATATGGGAATTGGGCGGGAAGACAAAAACCCGAAAAATACAAGAAAATATGGGGGATAGTTTGATTTGTGTGTATTTATTTGTGTGTCCCAGGGCCCCTTCAAAGATATCGACACAGCGGGGGGGGGACAGCACTCAGCGCGCCCGCCGCCCCAAAGCAGGGCGGTCTGGGCCGCGCACGCCCCAAGGGCACGGAGCTCTTTCCGCCGCCGGCGCGCGGCCGGAGCCCACGGCCCGCGGCGCGGGTGCAGTCGTGCAGCGCACGGAGTGCGGTGTGCATGCGCACTGTCCGGAGAGGAGCAAGCGACGTGAGCAGATCGGGGGTGGGCAGACCTCCTACCTTGACGCGTCGATGGGCGAAGTGGCCGTTTTCGGTTCGCGAGGGGGGCGTCGCGGCCGTCAGTTTTGCGGGTCCAGGTCCGTCGGTTTCGGTCCCAGGCCGCTTTCACTAAAGGGAGGTTTACTCAAGGGAGGTTTGTCCACCGCCGAACATAGTTTCTGACGGTCCGCGCGGGTTTTTATTGGATCAGCGGTGGGCCCCCCCCTCCCCTGGCGCGCGGGGCGCGCCAGGGGATGCGCCGGACGCGCCGCCAGGGGGGCCCAGCGCAGGTCCAAGAAATCCGCGCGGACCTTGAAGCGTTTATGTTGGTGCCGCTTCTTCTTTCTCCAACTGCGCCGCAGCTCCGCGCACTGCGCGGAGCCCACGGCCTCCGCGGCTTCGGGATAATTCGCGATTAGCGTTTCTGGGCTGCCGAGCGCCCTCGGGGGCGGCCTCTGCCGAGCTCCCCGGGGCGGGCACGCTCGCGCATGCGGTTGGCCGCTTCGGCCGGAGGCAGAAACACAGTCGCAGGTATTCGCAGCGCCTGTTTGGAGACAACAGGCGCCCCTCCCCCCCAGCCTCCCCCAGCCTCCCTCTGCCCTCCTCGCCGCGCCATCGCTCGAGGCCCCTTCACACGCTGCCCAGGCATGGCGCCACCGCCCGAGGCGCTCTTAATTAGTTACATACAATTTGCCCAGAAATCGTGCTTTCGCGCCCGCGTTGGCCTCAGGCCAGGGGGTGTTTGGACCCCTCCGACAGCACAGTTCGATTGGTGTCTGAAATGCAGTAGTTTGTTTAGGCCTGCGAGGCATCTCGGAACCGAAAGCTGCGAGGACGTCTCGGGCGAAACGGGCCAGACCGCCTCCCGCACGGCATCTCGGACCCTAATTACAGTTGCGAGGATGTCTCGGGTGAAATTGGCCGAACCATTTCTCGCACGGCATCTCGGAGCCCAGAGCTGAGACGAGCCTGACCCGTCATCTCGCACGCGGCATCTCGGAGCCCAGAGTTGGGCGGATGTCTCAGCCGAAACGAACTAGACCACTTCGCACATGGAGCCCAGAGTGCAGAGTGGCGAGGATATTGTAATGGCCTCCGGCCAGTGCCGCCGATCCGGGGGGCTGCGTGCGGATTTGCAGAGCCACCTGGCGACCCTGGGACCCCCCTAAACATCTGGGGAATGCGCAAATCATGAAGAAAACGCTAGATGGAGCTCCCCCCCTCCCCCGCTTCCCCAGCAGAGCCACCCCGACGACCGTGGGACCCCCCGAAACATCTGGGGGATGCGCAAATCATGCAGAAAACGCCAGATGGAGGACCCCCCCCCTTCCCCGCTTCCCTGGCAGAGCCACCCCGGCGACCGCGGGGTCCCCCGTTTAACATCTGAGGGATGCGCAAATCGTGCAGAAAACGCCAGATGGAGGCGCCCCCCCTTCCCCCCTTGCCGGCAGAGCCACCCCGGCGACTGTGGGACCCCCAGAAACATCTGGGGGATGCGCAAATCATGCAGAAAACGCCAGATGGAGCCCTCCCCCCCCCTCCCCCGCTTCCCCGGCAGAACCACCCCGGCGACCCTGGGACCCCCCGAAACATCCGGGGGATACGCAAATCATGAAGAAAACGCTAAATGGAGGCCCCCCCTCCCTTCCCCCCTTCCCCGGCAGAGCCACCCCCGCACCCCCCCCCCAAGCAGACCTGAAGCTCTTGCTTAGGCTCAGGGCTGAAGCTCTTGCTGAGGCTCCTTGCTTAGGCTCAGGGCTGAAGCTCTTGCTGAGGCTCCTTGTAGTTCACACGCCGGATCGGCGGATATCGGGCGAATCGGGCAAGAACATTTTGCGCACGGCCAGGATTTGGAGGACAGTTCAGGTAGAACGCTGGGCGCCGACCAGAATTTGGAGGATCTCTCAAGCGAAGCGCTGCGCACTGGCCCCTCGGCGTGAAAGACTGGTGATCACAACATGACTCCAGTCAGCATCGGCGTCAAGACGGAACCTGTCGTGGACCCGCTTCGTTTAAGTCGGGCGTGTCCCCCTACAGGGGGATTTTCGACGAACAATTGAAAATACCCCAATACCCCAAAAAGGTCAAACCATATTTAACAAAAATAGTCCCCAGACTATTGTTGGACTATGTTTTGATATGTTTGCGGTATTTGTTTCGTCGAAAATCCCTCTGCAGGGGGACAGGCCCGACTTAACGCTTCGTTTTCTGGAGGCCTCCGCGGATCCCTGGCACCATCAGCACAAGCAGCACTGGTCGAGCTAGCAGCCCCTGGGCAGGGGGGCTCGAGGCCTCGAGGGGTCCACGCTGTGATGCGAGCCAGCCCGAGCCGCAGGCGCCCAGACGTCGATCCTCGATCCTCGATGCTCGAAGCCCCGATCCTCTCGAGCCTGCCTCGGCGCCCGCGGCGCACGGGCCGAGGACATCGGCGTGGCCGGGGCCGAGGCGATCGCGAGGGCGCTGCTGTCCCAGCCGGCCGTGAAGCTCGCGGAGACGGGGGGGGGGTCACCACTGAAGAGAGCCGGGGCGCCTGGCGGGTTTGTGCGGTGGCGGTGCTGCTGTTGCACATCTCCGTCCAGTGCCCACAGCAATGCCATGGCAAGAGGAGGAGGAGGAGGAGGAGGAGGAGGAGGAGGAGGAGCAGGAGCAGGAGCAGGAGCAGGAGGAGGAGGAGGAGGAGGAGGAGGAAGAGGAGCAGGAAGAGGAGGATAGGAGGAGGGCAGCAGCAAGGCAGCCAGCGAGCATCTGGAGAGGTCACCACCGAAGAGAGCCCGGGCATCAGGCGCATCTATTGTTTCAACCGTCAGGGCCCCGTAAACCAGGACACTGCAAACCAGGAGAGATCCGGCTGGAGAGAGCAGAGAACGGAGAATGTCTCGTCCCTACCGCCCGGATGTATCAACGTCCCCGTCCACGTGGCCCTGGAACCGCTGGGTCGCTCTTTTCTTCAGCCTCGGCCTCCAGGGGGCGTTTTCGGGCCCCTGGGCCATCGAGACGGACTCCTGAGTGAGAATCTGCATCCAGGGAAGGGCTGGTTGGGGACGCAGAGTGGAACTACCGCATTGCTGGGTGTTTGGGAAGGGGTCGTCGTGTTGCTCTTCGGCGAGGCTTGGGCCATGGCCTCGCGTCTTCTTGGCAGTCACACCCAGGAGGCTCCCAGCAAAGCCTGGCCGCCCCTGGTTCGCCAGTTCTCCCCGAATACGACATCCGAAAGGTCATGGCATCATCGTGGCATCTCGCCCGCCGCCCACCTGATGACGGCCGTGCCTCTCCGATTGGCCCCGCGGCGCTGCCCCCGCCTCGGCTGCACGCGCTGCCCCGCGCACTCTGCGAGTGCACCACAGCTCCCTGTGCTCGAGCTTGCCCTGCGCGGGTGCTCCCGTGGCCCAGCGCGGCCCGTCGGCTACCCGAGCGCGTCAGCATCCGCTCCCGCTGCCGACGAAGACGTGTCTGAGAAGTGACCTCGAGGATCGTCTCGCGGCGCGCGGGGGGGGAGGGGGGCGGCGCGGGGCGGCCCACTCAAGAAGGCGGGGGCTCCTTGTCAGAAGGCGGGATCGAGGATCCAGCCTTCGGTCCTCGGCCCTCGGGGTCCCATTCTCCCCGCGCTCCTGTGCTCCCAGGCCCCTGTCGTCGAGTCCGCTGCGCCGCGCCCCACCTCCCGTTCCTCGCCCCTCCTGCTTCTCAAGCCTGCTGCGCTGCGGGGCCCGCGCTTTGCACAATGATGCAGCGCCGCGCGCACGCCTCGCCTCCGCCCTCCCTTTCTCCGCAGCCGCTTCCTTTCACTGCTTTTTGTTCTCTCCCGCATTTCGGCACGCCCCTCACACGCTCCGCGCCCATGGGGAACTGCATGTGCTGCCCCAACGGGCGCCCACGTTTGCCGCAGCCCGCCCATGTCGGCACGCTTTTCATATCTTCGCGCTCCCATGGGGAGCTAATCCTGTTTCCGTTTGCGCACCCCGCTCCGACCACGGCCCCAGTGGGCGCTCGCGTGTGCGCACCCCGCCCATTTTGGCACACCTTTTTTTACGCTGTCCCGCCACCATGGGGAGCTCCACCTGCGGCCCAACCGACCGCCCACGCATGCCGCCCCCCGACCAGGTCGGCAAACCCCTCACACGTCGCGTGCCTTGACAGGGACCTGGGGCTCCAGAGGGCGCCCACGCACGCACATTCTAGTCATCACCTTGTTCATGACGGTGCGCCCCTCACACGCTTCGCGCCCCCATATGGAATCCGATGTACGGCGCACGCCGCACACTTCGTCACACCCATGGTACCTTACGGGCCCTTGGAGGGATTTCCACCTACAGCCCCAGCGGGCGTAAAACAATGCCACGACGCGGCAATGTCGGCACATTCCTCCCATGGTTCGTGCCTTCATGGGGGGCCCACATACGACCCCTAGGCCGTACGGGCGTGTTCGCATGCCCACCCAAGCAAATGTCGGCGCACCGCTCGCACGCTTCGTGTTTGAACAGGGATTTCCACATGCGGCCCCAGCGCGCACCCACTTAAGCTTTACCACGCCGATGTCGGCAGACCCTCACACATTTAGTGGGCAACCACACCGTCCAGAACACCTCGTGCCTCGTGTGGAAAGCCCCACATACGGTCCCAGTGGGCGTTTACAGGTGCCGCCCCCGCCTAATACCGTCGCGCATCTCACACGCGCCGCGCCCCTATAGGGAATTCAATGTACGGACCTACTGGATGTGTTCGTATGCTACCCATTGTTGATGTCGGCGCGCGCCTCACACGTTTCGTGCGCGCACCAAGAGCCCCACCCACGGCTGGGCTGAAAGACGGAAGTTTCTGGTTCCAAGATTTGCCGTTTCGGGTTGTATTTCGGCGTGGTCTTGGGCTTTGGGGGTGAAAATCGGAGGACAGGGGATTGTGGAGTATGCGGTCGCGTATGGCGGGCTTTCGGCCCTCTGATGGTTTCATGCTTCTCACATCCTCTCTCTTTCTCCCTCTCCCTCTCTCTCTGTCTCTCTCTCTCTCTCTCTCTCCCTCTCCCTGGAGGACGCTCAGATTGGTTCCCTTTCCTGTGTGGCGGAATAACACGTAGATCCCCTTTGTGGCGGAATTACGCAAGTATTCCCTTTTGTGTGAGAGGCTACCAACTGTTTCCCTTTGTGGGGGTCACACATCGATTCCCTTAGTGGCTGCCTACACATAGATTCCCTTTGTGGCGGAATTACAAGCAGATTCCCTTTGTGGGGGTTTACAAATAGATTCGATTTGTGTGAGGGCGTACAAGTTGAATTCCTTTGTGGCGGGGGAGGGGGGCGTCTGGCCCTGGGGGGAAGGCCCAGCAAAAAAAGCCCCTCTGGATCCACTGGTCCCGTTTTTTTTGGCCCTGGAAAAAAAAACGGGGCCAGTGGATCCAGAGGGCTTTTTGTTTTGCTGGAACCGTCCCCCCAGGGATCAGGGCCCAGATCCTGAGCAAGGAGGTAGCCCCGCCGGCGTCGGCGGCACCTTGTCCTCCTCTTCGCCCCCTGCTTCTCCTTCTCCTCCTCGCCGTCCTCCCTCGTCCCTCCTGCTCCTCCTCCTCGTCCT